ATGTCACAGAGTTGGACACACTTAGTGACTAAACAACAGTATTCTTTTGGTTAGCCAGAAGAAACCCTTCTCCAGATTCATGTGGGGCAGGTCTCTTAGCAACAGATTCCCTCACCTTGCATTTCATTGGGATGTCTGTTTTTTCCCCATATTTGAAGGCTAATTTTGCTTGATTTGGAATTCTTAAGTGACAAGTTTTTTCTTCCAGAAATTTAAAAATGTCATTGTACACACACTAATGACCCCTGTTGAATTTGATGAGAAATTTATTGTTTAATCTTATTGAGGATTCCTTGTAGATTCCTTTGAGTTTCTTCTCAAAGATTCTCATTTTCCTTGGCTTTTAGCAGTGATTTATTACTTTATCTCAGTGCAGATCTCTTTGTGTTTATTCTGGTGATTTCTTGAACCTCTTGAATGTGTAGATTCATGTCTTTATCTAATGTTTCAATTGGTATACCTTTAAGTTTACTGAGTTTTTCCCCTCTGTACTCAGATCTATTGTTGAGACCCTCTAGTGTATTTTTCATTCCGGTTATTATAATTTTAAGCATCAGTGTTTGTGTTTGGTTCCTTTTTAAAATGACTATTGATTCTGTTTGTTGAGACTTCATTGTCCTGGTTTCCTTTGTAGTTTCTTGTCCTTGGTTTCCTTTAGCTCTTGGAGCAGATCTAAGACAGTGATTTAAAGTCTATATTTAATGTCTGTGCTTCTGCAGGGACAAATTCTGTTAAATTCTCCTGTGAATGGACTATATGCTCTTTTTCTTTATATCCTCTGTAACTCTTTCTTGAAAACTGGACATATTGACTTTTATGATATGATGACTCTGGAAAGTAGGTTCTTTACTCATGATTTAATTTTGTTGCTTGGTGTTACTTTCCTTTTAAGTGGTTTTCTATATAGTTTTTTTTTTTTTTTAAGTGTGCTTTCTTTGTCACTTTGATCTCTAAAGTCTGTTTTTGTAGCTTGTGTTCAACTAGTGTTTTGGCAAAGACTTGCTTGAATACTAGGTGCTAAGATAATGTGCAGTAGAAAGGAGAGGGGTTCAAAAAAAAAACAACTCTCCAGTGTTTGTGGGTTGACTCTGTGGTGGGATCTTTCCTTCAGTGGCCAGCCAGTTTGCATCGAGTTCTGCTTCCTGCTTGCCCTGTATCAGAAGATATATCAGGGATTCAAGTTTAACGCATCAGGTCTTTTACGAGGATGCATCCTGCCCTGGGCATGTGGTGCTGTCTAAATTCCCTGGAATGCACAGATACTTTTTAGTGCTCCCAGTTTCCAAGAGAAAATTCATCCCAGCTTTTCCTCTTGGACTCTTGGCATGTTTGTGAACCATAATCTTTTGCCCCAGGCATCTGTGCCTTTTTTTTTTGGTTTTGTCTGCCATACAGTGATTTGAGGAATACCCTCCACTTTTCTGCCCTGTGTGAGTTCTGAGCTTGTCAAAAGAATAAGATGTGTTCTTCAGTAGCCCACAGGCATTTTAAAATAGGGAAGCACAATTATTTGCAAATAAAGTCTGCTCTGTTCCTTCTGAAACTGGAGCTGGGGTTATTTACTGGGTCTATCAGGTGCTCTCTTCAAGACTTCTGCTGAATCCAGGGTGGCAGGGGTCAAGGGAAAGTAAGAATTCCCAAAGCTTTCTTACTTTTTTTTTTTTTTTGGCTGGCTTTTTTGCCCCTTGCAGGATCTTAGTTCCCCAACCAAGGATTGAACCCAGACCTCTGGCAGTCAGAGCACCTACTCGTAACCACTGGACGGTGAGGGAACTCTCCACTTTCCCACAGTTTTAAAGTTTTTTTTTTTCCTGACTTAGCATTTGGTTGGTTTCTGCAAGCCTTTCTTTTTTCCAGAATCTTTGAAATTGGTTCTTACAGTTTTGCTGACTTTTTGATGTTTCTGTGGTGGAAGGTGCCTTTGGAGTGGCCTACTCCATTGTTGCTGACATGTGCTCATTTGCTCAGTCTGTCCGGCTCTTTGCGGCCCCATGGACTATACAGTCCATGGAATTCTCCAGGCCAGAATACTGCAGTGGGTAGCCTTTCCCTTCTTCAGGGGATCTTCCCAACCCCGGCATCGAACCCAGGTCTCCCATGTTGCAGGCGGATTCTTTACCAGCTGAGCCACAAGGGAAACTTGAGTGTCTTGAGAAACATTGTCTAAATTATTTTGTCCCTTTTTAAAATTTTTGAGTTGGGGGGGATATGCATTGTTACATGCAGGAACATTAATGTGGTCCTTGTTATTCCATCTTGACTAGTCTATTATTTCTTCTTATCCTTGACTTTTTTCTTATTATTCTCTTTTCCCTCTTTTCTTCCTTATTTGTGATTTTATGAATGTTTTTAGCATTGTATTTTAATCCATTTAATAATACACTTAATTCCATTTAAATTTAATGTTATTAGAGTACCATTTGGGCCATATCTTTTCTGTATATACAGGTATTAATATTTGTGTATGTAGCTGTTGCAGTTGCTCTAGGGATTACAAGTTTCATACAAATAGTTCAATCTACCATGTATACCACTTTACATAAAATGTAGAAAACATCAGAACTGTATAGATCTCTTTTACCTGCTGCTTCCCCAGTCTTTAGTAATAAAATGTTTTATACACATTGAAAACTTTACAAGACTTTTGATGTAAGCAGTCAAATGTATTTTAAATGAAAGAAGGTAGTATTATTATTTCATCAGCCAATACTCTGTCAGAAGTACCTGAGTATTTATCATGCTTCATTTTTTCTCTGCATCTTGGAGCTTCCTTCTTGGGTCATTTTTGTTTTCTCTCTTTTCTGTTGCCCATGGACAATTGTCTGGTCTTTCTTTTAGAGGGAATTTGTTTAAAGATATTTTTTGGCTTTAATTTGTTTAAAGATATTTTTGGCTGTTTTTGGTTATTTATCCCGTTCTTTTGGTGATAACTTGCCTTTTGGTTATTTTCAGGTATTTTTGTTTTTGGTTTTCTGTAGTTCTACAGATTATGTGCCTGTGTGTGGATTTATATTAATATTTATTTACCTTGGAATTTATTGTGATTATTCATATCTTTTTATTTTAGAAAGTTTTTAGTTCTTATCATTTTAAATATTGCTTCCATACCATTTATTTCTTTTATATTTCTCTGAGACTCTAATTACTTGTTAGGTAACTTGTTATTATGTTGTTTTTGTTTCTTGTCCTCTTTTTGTCTTTTTCATACTTCTGTGCTAATGTTCTGAGTATTTTCATCTGACCTATTTTGTTCTAATTTACTTTTTGACTATTGATATATCTAGGTCATTGTTAATCCCATTTACTAGTTTTAAATTTTTGTTTTTACTTCTGTAATTTTTGATTTAGAGTTTTCAGTTCTTTGAAGGAATTTTTAATATTTTGTTGTGTGTATTTAAATATAATAAGCATACTTTTAAAAACATTTGTGTCTGAAACCCCAACATATGTATCTGTTTTGATTTTCATGTTTTTGCTGCTATTCACTCATGTTGTCTTCGCTCTCTTGTGTTTCATACTTTTCATTGTGCTGAAAATGAAAATGAGCTAGTATTATAAATTGTTGTTCAGTTGCTCAGTTGTGTCCGACTCTTTGTGACCTCGTGGACTGCATGCAGCACGCCAGGCTTCCCTGTCCTTCACCATCTTGCAGAGGTTGCTCAAACTCATGTCCATTGAGTCGGTGATGCCATCCAACTGTCTCGTCATCTGTTGTCTGCTTATCCTCCTGCCTTCAGTCTTTCCCAGAGTCAGGGTCTTTTCCAGTGAGTCAACTCTTCGCATCAGATTGCCAAAGTATTGGAGCTTCAGCTTCAGAATGAGTCCTTCCAGTGAATATTCAGCATGGATTTCCTTTAGGATTGACTGGTTTGATCTCCTTGCAGTATTAGAAATTACTTGTAGCCAAATGAATGACATTGTTTTCTTGGAGGGAGGGTTTGCATTAGCTTCTGTCTGGTGTCTGGGGCACTTGATGATTCAGGGTTACATGAGTTGAATTTCTGGGCTAGAGATGGTCAAAGCTCCGCTGCAGGCTCTTGGAGGGCCTGTGTGCTGTTAAGTTTATTGGCATTTCTGGCTTGCATCCCCTCCGTTTTGCCACTGAAAGAGGGTGAGGGAGTTACTAGTGTTCCTCTTTTCCCTTAGTTGTCCAGGGACATAGATCTTATACTTTGAGCCTTCTGAGTTTGTCAAAAGTACCTTCCACTCTCTGAGCTGTTTTCTTTGAAATAAGCAAATGTCCGCCAGGTGGCAAAGTGGTCAAAGTTGTACTTAAGGCCTTGGACTTCCATCCTTTTGCAGTTTAGCCCTGATAATTCCTTACTGTCACATCAGCTCTTTAGTCACATTATATCTTTCTTTAGTCATATTTTGAAAACTTGAAAGAAGCAACATTTAAGATCAGTTATTTGAACTGAAATATTAAAATAGTAAAACAATGAATGTTAGTATTTAAAATATCAACATTAGTGTAGCAATTACAAATTTAATAATGACGTTTAACGTTTAAAGTATTTAAGTTTTTATTTTAGGTTTTCAGCTATAAAACTTCATACTTTTCTGTGGTTCTCAGAGAAAGTATTGATCTGAATTATTTATTTACTCTTATAAAACGTGTCAGTGTGCCAGCATCTGAATTTTAAAGTGTTTCCCTTCGGGAGTTCCCTGGTGGCCCAGTGGTTAGGATTCTGTGCTTTCACTGCCATGGCCAGGGTTCAGTCAATCCCTGGTCTGGGAACTGAGATCCCAGATGGATGAGTGCAGCAGCCAAAAAAAAAGTTTCCCTTTATTTGTGTTACTGCACACATTAACTGCGGAAATGACTAGGAGTCTTTTATCCGTAGTGGTTTGACTATTAGTAGTGCGAATTTGTTAATGTTTTTGTTGTGTGTTTGCTTAAATGGGCATTTAAGGGATCTATTCAGAAAGTTAATAATTTATGTTTTAAAAACCTTTGTTGATACTGGAAAATGACATTATTTTTGTTTACTTATTTTTAGGTTGGGCTCATGTGGTTTGTGCCCTGTATATTCCAGAGGTACAGTTTGCCAATGTTTCTACAATGGAACCAATTGTTTTACAGTCTGTTCCACATGATCGTTATAATAAGGTACAGTATATATTATTTTATTGATGTTTTAAAATAACTTTTTGTTTTAAAAGTGGTAAGTGTAAAGGAATTGTTGAATTTTGTTTATTATAGCCCTTCATTAAAATATTTAAATGCCTCCATTGAGTTGGAAAAAATATAATTACTGTGGTAAAGTACAGTTATTAAAATATGTTACTAAAGTCACAGGAGTATAAAACAAATGCACACAAGCAAAGCTGTATCACCTTTTATATTAACCTAGGTTTTAAAGGTCCTAATGTTTTAATCCTTACAGATTGTTCTTTAAGAATTACTGGTTTAAACAAAAACAAACAAAAAAAGAATTATTGACTGTTATGTTCTTTCAGATATTAAGGCTGTATTAAATTTGAATTAATCATTATTTGGTATAATATTCATTATGCTGATACACATCTTGTTTTAAAAAATAATCCTATCACAGAGTATTATTTATTCATTTCTCCAAATGATTGTTTTGCTCTCAAGACAGTATTCTTTTATTTTCCCCTTAAAAATAATCTTAATGTTTGCTTTTTTCTCTTGTATATTTTTCTTAATTTAGAACATTTGTATTATTGTTTCATTCTCTTGCATATTGGATTATTATTTTTTTTTAATTACCTACTGTGCCTTTAAACATACTGTTACCATTTTTAAGTGAAGGTACTTGTTGATTTATTTCATCTGTGAAGAAAGGGTCATGGCAGCCAATGCTAAGATTTCAAAATATTAAACATTTTGTAATGTAGATTATTAAAATTTATTTAAAAAATTGGAAAATGCAGAGAAATAGAAAAATGTAAGGCAAAACTCATGTAAAATCTTTCCATTAAGATCCTCCTAGATTTATTTTTGTGTGTATTTTACAAATACTGTATACTTCTAATTGACTAATCAGGTTAGTGGTATGTGAGATGCACTGTGAATGCATTACTAAATGCATTCTGTGAATGCACTGTGTTCTGTGAAATGCACTGTGTATTACCATTAGGACAATATTTGCTATTTTTTTAGTAAAAAGTATTGCAGTGTTTGAATGATTTTCTTTCCATATTGATAACATTAAATATTTTAAGTTTTTTTAGAAAAGGTTATTCATATTTGTTAGTTGACCTTGAATAGCTCTTTGCTCATTTTAATATTTTAATGTTTTAATTTTTTCTTATAAAATGTTTTTTATACTGAAGATAATTATTCTTTTTTCTTATATACTTGCTGTCAGTGCTTCTGTCCATAATTTAATATTTGCTTTTTAATTTTCATTTTGTCTTTATGATTGTCATTATTGTTGGTATTCTAACATGTTAATTGTTTCTAGTTTTAAGTTTAAAATTTTTTTTATAGTTTACACAACTACTCTTTATTGTTTCTGCCTTTGTTGCCACACAGAATATTTCTCTACACTAAAGTATAACTATTTTATAGTATGTATTTCCTATAAAGAAAGACTTTCTTCTGCATGACCAGAATACACCATCAGCATCAGGAAATTAATATTTATGTGTTATTTGTCTAATCCAGAAGTGTCATCATTATTTGTCTAATTTTCATTCATATTTTTTGTTTTCCCAGTAGAGTCTTTTCATAGCAGAATTTGCTTTTTGTCCCTTAAGTCTCCTGACTTACATAACTTTGGTACTTCTGAAGATTTTAGATCAATTATTTGTAGAATGGTTTTTAATAATGTTTCCTCATGATTAAATTAAGTTATGTGTTTTTGGCAGGAATGTCACAGAAATGATGCTGTGTTCTTCTCATTGCATCCTGTCAGGTGGTACATGATTTCAGTTTTTCCCATTACTGGTGATGTTACCTTGGTCACTTGGTTAAGGTGGTGTCTGCAAGATTTCTCCACTGGGAGGTTAATCTTTATTTCCATTATAATTAGTAAGCATTTTGTAGTGAAGTACTTTGTATGTAAATACCTTGTTTCTTGTGCCTTTTATTCACTAATTTTAGCATCCATTGTTATTTCTTTGCTTAATGAGTTTATTTCCATGATTGATGCCAGGTGGTGGTATTCTAATTCCATCGTTTACGTTCATTAGTTGGCATTCCATTTTAAGGAGACGCTTTCATCACTTCCCAATTATTTATATCAGTATGGACTAATAACAACTTATGTGTTACTATTTGCTTTAATGGGTCATTCCCCACCACTGTCATTTATTGTGATGCTTATATTGTCTCAGGTTTGGTCAGTGGGATCCCTTCAGGCTCTCTCTTTTGTCTTTTGACTTCTTTCTGTCATTCTCTGAAGGCTTCTTTACTTGTGACATGACCGTGTATTCTAGGCTCATCTTGTACCATTGCTTTCTTAGTCCTCGAATAACCATTTCTCAGAGAAGTTTTGAATCCTTTTAGGTAAGAATGGTATTTAGAAACAAAGAGGATGTTAGGTGTGCTCACTGTTACTAGGATGTTGCTGTTTTCGGGCCCTCTCAGTGTGTATAGATGCAGAGATACACACACATTCACATCTATATCTTCTTATGTTTTGAAGTAGGTGAAGTCACATAGATAGTTTTGATTAGTATGTGGATATATGTACATACACACGTATCTATATGTATTTCTGTGTCTGTCTATTTATGTATGCAACCATAAACTCCTAGGAATTTCTTAGTAATTTCCCCAAACCTAATCCAACAACACATAGTTCATTTTAACTTTCTTTTTGTTTTTATGACTCTAATGTGAGACAGTGAGAAACCTGACTCCTTTTATCCTCAATATATTTATTTGATTATTCTCTTTTTTATTAACAAGTCTTTTATTGCTGCCATCCCATAATACAGAGGCCATCCTAACTTTGTTTAGGCTCAGACTTCACTCTGGGTTGCTGATTCCCTGCATTGCTGCCTTTTTTCTTTTTAAACCATTTTGGGGATTTAATGCTCAGCTTCAGTCCACAACTCCCCTCTTTCCCTTCCATGGTTGGTTTCCTCACTTTGCACAGGTTCTGACAACTCATTCTGACACTATTTCCACCCCACCCCCAACACTTTGATGAGAACCACCCCTACTGGGTCTCTGATACTAGAGTTGGGCTGTCCTTTCCTTCACAGGATAGATGCTGTCATGCTTCACCCCACCTCAAGACTTAAGTATTCAAGGAGTATAGAAAGTATTCAAGGGAGTATAGAAGGAAGAATGAATTAGATACAAATCTTTTATCCAGTTAGGTTAATTTTAGAATATTCTGAGATATATGTCTAACTTTTCCCCCTCCCACATGGTTTAGTCAGCTTTTTCAACACTATGTTTTACACAGTGATTTGGAATACTGTTTGAATTATTATTAAATTCTTGGCTTTTCCTTACTTTTCTTGTACCCTGATCTATCTTTGTAGTCTTATTCTAGTAGCACACTATTTTAATTTACTATGGCTTTAAATACATGTTAGTACATGGTAGAACAAATATTACCATGCATATATTATTTAGATGAACATTAGGACTAACAATACTGATTATAGGTTAGATGAACATTTTAGGTTAGATGGACATAAGGACTAACAATAATGATTTTATTGGTGTTATAGTGAAACATTTTAGGGGAGGATTGATCTTTTTGCAATGTTGAATCTCCCCTTCCAGAAATATGGTGTCTCTCCCTGTCAAATATTTTTCCTTTTTGTAGTTTTCCTTATATGTAGTTGCTGCATACGTTTCTTGGATTTTATGGTTGTTCGTCTATATGGTGGTGGTTTAGTCGCTAAGTCATGTCTAACTCTTTGTGACTGCATGATCTGTAGTATAGTAAACCTTAAAAACAATAATATCTGGTTCATGAATATTTAGTATGGTTAATAGGGGACATGTAATTCTGAAATGATAGGAACAATTGGAAAACGGTTTGTTGAGTTTAGAAGACAGCAGTCTTTTTTTTGTTTTGGCCATGCCACATGTCTCGTGGGATCTTAGTTCCCCAGCCAGGGACTGAACTCGTGCTGTAGCAGCGAAGTGCCAAATCCTAACTTCTGGACTGCCGGGGAACTCCCTTGGAAGTTACCAGTCCTTAATGGGTGGTGGTAAAGGATAATGTAGAGATTATTTTTAAATGTATTGGCCACTTAAAATGGACCTGCTTTGCATGTGCTAGATCCTGAGAGTTGTGTAAAACATAGTTTATCTCCATGTGACACTCAGACATAACTCACATAACTACAATGTACGAAAATAATTGTGATAGTTTACAAATAATGGAACAGCTGAATGAGGTATTATAGAACATAATGAAAGGAGGTATTATTTTTGTCTAAGGAACTGAGTATGACACACAAAGATATTATAAGGGCTATGCACAATAATAGGGAATTTGACCTTGGAAGAAAGAATCAAATAATAATTCTAGAGAAAGTAACATAAACTAGAGTAATAGGTGCAAAGAGAGGATGCTAATAATAAATAGTTCAGAGAGTTTACCATAATCAGTGCAAAGAATAATAAATAATTCTGGAACATTGTGAAATTTAGAAGGGAAATAAAAGGAAGACTTCTAGACTTACCTGTGTAGTATATCCATTTGCACACGATTCACCGTGTTGACTTATGTTGCTAAATTTTCCACACGTCAATAAAATAGAGTGGCCAGTTTCTTCTGAACCATTTGTCATCAGATTCTTGTTATTTTTTGACCTCTCATATTTTCTTGTATCAGTTCCTCATTTCACTGACACATTTTGTTAAAAAATAAATGGCATGTTACCTTTAATTACCTTTCAGTAATTTTTAAGAAATGGGAAGATTGGGGCAACATAGGGATATGGGACCTTTTTTGGGTGAGACTTGTGTTCTTTAGAGTCAGAGAAGCTTTTTAGTTTAGAAAGCTGCAATTTCCATAGAGAGTAGTTGGCAGTTGATGTGTACATCTGAATTTATTCTCTTGAATAGTTTATTGAATGGCCATTAAGGAATGAGTGTTTATTAGTTTAGGAAGTATCATAATAGACCAACCAAACAAACCAAAACTGCCATAAAACGTGGTATCATTG